CAGCCCCGTCGCGCTGGAAGCATGGTGCCTTGGCGGTCGAGCGCAACTGGGAGCGGCTGGCAATGGACGTAACCCATTTCCGCGGAAAACACTATCTCACCGTGATTGACTGTGGGCCGTCGCGATACGCCATGTGGCGTGAGATCCGCCGCTCTGACGGGAGCGAGATCGTCAGACAACTCGAGGCTCTGTTTTTGGAGCGAGGAGCACCGGCCGAGCTTCTAATGGATAATGCGACCGAATTCAAGGGTCGAGAGCTGAAGGCGTTCGCGGTGCGGTGGGACGTCGAGCTGAGGTATCGCGCGGCCTATGAACCTGGTGGGAATGGCATCATCGAGCGCCACCACCGCACCATCAAAGTGATGGCCGCCCGTCAGGGATGCACCGTACCAGAAGCCGTGCACCGATATAATGTCACGCCCAAGGACGGGCGTGATATTACCACGGCCCCGATACATGGTGCCTACCGTCAGGCTGGCAGAGACTTGTGCGTGCAGTCACAGGGAAACACAGCTGCTCCTCCTCAGATGGCCGGCCAGCCTGGTGTGTATCAGCCCGGTGATGCGGTGTGGGTCCGAAAACGGGGCGATCGGTGCACCGCCGTGTCAAAGGAGGGCACTGTCACCAAAGTCGTATCCGCTCAGACGATTGAAGTGGATGGAGTCCCATGGCACGTGCGGAACATTCGTCATCGTCTTGCCAACAACGGTGACGACGCAATGGCTGCTTCGACGGATGATGAGCAGGAAGAGGAGATCGCCTGTCCGGTTCCGACCGCCCATGTGCCTGGACAGCTGGCCATTGAGGCGCCGGCGGCGGTGGAGCCGTCAGAGCTGACCCCAGCTGTCGCGCCGACCGAGCAGACCGAGCCGGTCCCTCGAGCAGCAGCTGAGGCGGATGGCGGTGCCGGAACAGAGGAGCGGATCCATACAGTGAAAGTTGTAAAAACAGAAACTGAGGGATTGTCAAACGACCGTGTGAACGAAGGTAGAGCGCCAGCGGAAAGTGTAGATAATATCGATAGTTATAGTGACGTGCTAAGAAGGGGTTTGCGCTGCAGGCGTGCGCCGCAACTCTTCGGCGCTCCCATCCCCCATTAGTTAAACTGTAGTTAGATGTGTTCTTTAGGAACAGGGGGGAATGTGTCTCTCTGTTTGTTCACATAGTTTGTATTCTAGCCTTGTCGCGTAGGGTCGGCGTCGGGTCATAAGTGGTCATAAATGGAGGTCTATGGCCACACATGTGCGCGGCAGCAGGGACACGCCGGCCCGTATATCGGGCGGCCCGGCTGGACATTGGGAGACGGGCGGGCAGTGGAGAGCAGGGCGGGAGAGAGAGAGGACGGGTCGGTGTGCGCGTTGAGATGTCTGAAGGGTGAAGAAATACAGTCTACGATAGACGCAAAGTTTGAATGCCACAGTGATGTATTCTAATGGGTACCTATTCTAACGACTTTTTTACATTTCTTAATTCGAGAAAAAGGTCATAACAAATACTATACTTTATCATAACAAGATGTTCCTCGCGAGAGCACTCAACAACATATCAATTTCTTTCTATTTTCAGTCAACGCACAATGAATCCATACGGTATGTGAGAAATCAATTCGGCATCCACACTATGAATCCATACGGCCAGCCAGCCAGCTGCAGCCCGGTGCAAGCATTGCTGCCCCATATTCAGAGGAGCACAATGCACGGGACACTACAGCACCTGGGGGCGCCGCCGTGGCACAGGCCCTGACCGCATACCGCCCCGGTTCGCCGGCTCCCGCATCTGGGGCGCAGCGGCACCTGCTGTTCCCGCTCGGAGGACCTTCTCTGTATGGGTGGGCTTTGTTTGCGCTCAGCTCGGCGCTGGAGCTCGGGAGGCGCTCGGCGCCCATCACCGCTCCGTGCTGACACCGCGGGTGTAGGGCGGTGAGTGCCCCCGCGTGCCGCCCCTGGCCGCCGGCCGCCATTTTGCTGGCATCCCTCTCTGGTGGGACGGTGTGGGCCGCGGGTCAGAGCCGCCGGCCGGCGCCACCTCCACTGCTCTGGATCGCTCAGCGGGGCCGGCGCGGCGGCCCCTACTGGCCGGTGGGTGCGCTCCGCCCTCCGCCGGCGGCCGGCGGCCGGCCGCGGACCGGTCCCGGCCGGCGGCGGCGGGCCCGGGCGGGCCGAGCGCCGCGCGGAGTGGACCGCCGTCAGACGCCACAATGAGCCCGAGCGGAGTGGAGAGCGCCGCGCTGCCGGCCTCGCTGGCCGGACACTACGAGCGCGCCAGGAAGGAGGAGCTCGCCTCTGTGACCAGGTGAGGGCGGCTCGGGTCGCGCGGCGCCGCAGCTGACACACCAACAAAAAGAGGATCACCCTCCGTGATGAATTCGTAATGGTGTTGTTAATCGTTAAGTACCTAATAATCCTCGGCGATCCTTCATTGCAATCCGAGGATTTCAGCTGCTGCCAGCTGTCGTTGTAATCCCAATGCTAAACATTGCGATGGATGGGAATTAGGCGAGGAGTGAGAAGATCATCAGCTCGCCGCTATTGTCGACAGCGTGTACTGCTCCCGTGCTAATCTCCGGAGGAGAAGCGCCTCCGCGATTCGGGCAGCGGGCGCTCAGATTCTGGTCCAGCTTCTTAGCAGGCTCCTCTCACTGCTCAGTAACAAGTGCCTTGCTCTATGAAGTTAAAAGCCGTGCCGGGAGCTCTTGCCTGCCGTGAGGTCCTCCAATCCCCACTGCGCCGTGGGTGGCCCAAGTCGCCACAAGGTTTGTTGCTGGCTGACACTGAGTTGAACTGCAGGAGCAGCCATGCAGATATAAAACTATGTCCCATTCTATGAATCTTTTTCTGCACTGCACTGCACTGTGCACAGGCTGGATGCAGGCCCTGTACAGGCCATGTATTAGCATGGCCTGCAATTTGGGTTTTGGTTTTCCACATTGTATGGGGTGTCGGAGCAGCTGTCGGAGACAGTTGGACTCCTGACGCTCCCGAGTTGGACTCCTGACGCTCCCGAGTTGGACTCCTGACGCTCCCGAGTTGGACTCCTGACGCTCCCGAGTTGGACTCCTGACGCTCCCGAGTTGGACTCCTGACGGAGCTCTCTGTCGGCATGCGCGGCAGTGCATTGCAGGGAGGCGGAGAGGTCCGTCCACTTCTGACCAGTGACCCCACTGCACCCCGGCCCCCACCTGCGCCAGGTCCCGGCTCGCCGGCTGAGCGCCTGCAGGTCCCGGGTTTCTGGCTCCTGAGCGCCCGCAGGTCCCGGTTACCTGTCTCCTGAGCGACCACAGGTCCCGGGTGTTGTGTCTCCAGAGCGCCCGCAGGTCCCGGGTCTTTGTCTCCTGAGCGACCACAGGTGCCGGTTACCTGTCTCCTGAGCGCCCGAGCGCAGCAGCCGGGCGGCCCGCGGGCGTTTCTGCTTTAGTTTGTGGGCATTTTGGTCTGGACGCTAGCTCTGCCACAAACGCGATCGTTTGTCCCGACGATTGTCCATCGCCAAATTCCAGCGTTAGCAGTCGAACTGTCTCCGACTGAGCTCATGTGTCGAGGGCTGCGACCCTGACATCGGTTCAAAGGTGCACAGTCTGCTGGCAACCTGCGGCCATCTCTCCGGCTATGAGCGGCGACTAAGGGTGCACGGTGCGGGCCGGCGCCCAGGCTCGGCTGTTTGTTTTCCTGGCAGATAAGCGCCGCAGAGCACGCCCCCCCCCCCCGGACCAGTGTGTGCGCGGAACAGGCGCCTCCCCGTGGCCGTGCGCGCCGACTCGGGAGCACTGGGACCGCGGCCGGATATCCGCCACGGGTGACCCGGACTGACGGCCGCAGGGGCGCCGCCGAGACGGCTGCTGCCCTGGCGCCCGGGGCCGACTGCCGGCGCCCGGGGCCGGGGCCGGGGCCGGGGCCGGGGCCGGGGCCGGGGCCGGGGGAGCCGACTGCGGTCACCGCCGCCCGGTCACCAGTGACCACACGCTGTTGCAACTCGCTGCAGGCGCAGGTGCCGCCGTGCTGCATTGCCGGCAAAAATGCCCGTCTCGTGCTATCGCGGGCTGGCCGTTCCCGGAATCGGGCCCGCGCCAGTTCTTGGGACACCTTGGCCGCGGAGGCTGCGCTATCGGTCATCTGCGGCGGCCGCCCGGCGTCGGAGCTGAGCTCGCAATGGTGCGGGCCGCGCAGGTGGGACAGCCGGACGGACGGCTCAGTTCGGCCGCAGACGGGACATTTTATTTACCGCGGTGTACCAGAGTTCGGTACAGGTGGACCGGGCGGATGTTTTAATTATCACAATGCTAGTTTGACATAGTTGGATCGTTTGGAGCTCTCCATTCGACCATAGAGTATAGATACTTTAACACGGCGCTGAAGGCTAGAAGAATTTGACTGGGCCTAACAATTCTGGTTGAAGGCGAGATATATAACTTGACTTACACACTTCACTACTCGCTTCGGTTGTGGCTGACGAAACGGAGGTTATGTTTCGCACGCCCACACGCAGCTAATGTACCGAAAGCAGCTGGAATTGCAGAGTTTCCCGTCTCGGCCGACTGGCCGCTGGCGTGTCGCCGTCCGCTCCATCAGATGACGTGGTGCGGAACAGGCGCGCCCTCGGCGCAGTCGGAAGGACCGCGATGCGTCAGCGGCACATCCGCTTCCGACGATCGGCACCCGAGCTGCATTCTTGTCACGTGACAACGTCCACTGGGTCTTAGACTGGGGGTTCGTGAAGGACAGTTTGACTGCTAGCTTGGCATTTACTACGTTCTCCATTACTTTGTACGAAGTTGTCAATGGTGCTTGCACTGTTGCCACGCTGACTCTGTGGAATGGGAGGGCCGTCGCCGTTCTACACTTCTCGTTCACTGACGCACTCGACCCTTCCTCGGGGACAGCGGCACTGACTCCCACCGCTCTGCTGCCCGCCCCGAGTACCCCCTCTGACGGCGGCCTCTGTACGTTTCAGCCCGATGGCCCCGAGTACCTACCCGTTCTGACGGCGGCCTCTGTGCGTTTCAGCCCGATGGCGTTCCCGTCGTTCGGAGCGTCGCCGCACGGCGCCGGAGGCATGCTGCCCGGATACCCGGTGGCCCGGCCCAGCTACCCCGTCATGATGCCCGAGGGATTCCCCTCCGGAGTGCCCTACGGACCCGGTGAGTGCCCCCGCGGACCCCGTGAGTACCCTACGGACCCGGTGAGTGCCCCACGGAGCCCGTGAGTGTCCTACGGACCCGGTGAGTGCCCCACGGATCCCGTGAATGCCCTACGGACCCGGTGAGTGCCCCACGGATCCCGTGAATGCCCTACGGACCCGGTGAGTGCTCCACGGATCCCGTGAATGCCCCACGGACAAATTGAGTGTCCTACGGCCTACGGGCCTGGTGAGTGCCCCGCGGTCCCGGTGAGTGTCCCATGGACCCCGTGGAGTGCCCCGCGGACTGCGGGAGTACCCTACGGACCCAGTGAGTGTCCTGCAGACCCGGTGAGTGCCCTACACGCCTGGTGAGTGCCGTCAGCCCAGGTGAGTGTCCCATGGAACCTTTGAGTGTCCCGCGGATCAGGCGAGTGGCCCACAACCCGTAGGTTCCGATACTGTGGCAGCTGCAACGTTGCTATAACAGATCTCTTTACAATGCGTTTCATAATTTACACTTGTTTGCAACAAAAAAATATTGCCAATCCACTTTTTTGCCGGATCTCATTCAAAAATCTTCTACGTTTTTTAAGTCTAAGCAGAAGTGCCATTCTATAAAAGAAGCGAAAGCGCAACTGTAGGTACAGTATATATTTATGTCTTCCCACGTATAGGTAGGGAGGCGAGTGATTTTCTCTGTTGATAATTTAGCAGACATGTCTTCCTAACACTATCAACATTCAACATCAGTCGTCACCTGTCTATAACAGGTGTATAGGGTTAGCATCTGCGGGCTTCAGACTCGAGTTGAAGCTGAGCACGGGAAAAGTGAGGACGTTCAACGTTCCCTTCCCCAAATAGTCACGCGTCAATGCATACGCGAAACAAAAACACCGAGTGATCAATAGCCCCCGAGTCACCATGTGTACTGCTCCGTTACACGACCCTCCGCCTCTTCCCCCCCCCCCGATACCCTCGATATGCTCTCCCCGCCGCCGTCCCCGACCGTGTCCTGTCCACGGAGACGGAGCCGCGCGTGAGCTATCCTCGGTCAGCCTCCGCTGCGCTGAGCGGCTTCCCTGCGGCGGGCAGGGGGCGGGGGAAGCCTTAGAGCGGTCGCGCTGGGCCGACAGCGTGACCGGACCGGGACCGATGGATCGATGACGTCAAATGATCGGCCGAACGTGTGCTGTCCTGCCGGCCGCGGCAGCTCCCGTTTGCGGCGGAGGTCCGTCTGACTGTGCCGGCAACTGTGTGTGTCCGTTTCCGTCTGGTATGGCTGCTAACTGTGTGTCCGTTTCCATCTGGTATGGCTGCTTACTGTGTGTGTCCGCTTCCATCTGGTATGGCTGCTAACTGTGTGTCCGTTTCCATCTGGTATGGCTGTTAACTGTGTGTGTCCGTTTCCATCTGGTATGGCTGCTAACTGTGTGTGTCCGTTTCCATCTGGTATGGCTGCTAACTGTGTGTGTCCGTTTCCATCTGGTATGGCTGCTAACTGTGTGTTTACGTTTCCATCTGGTATGGCTGCTAGCTGTGTGTGTCTGTTTCCATCTGGTATGGCTGCTAACTGTGTGCGTCCGTTTCCGTCTGGTATGGCTGCTAACTGTGTGTGTGTCCGTTTCCAGCTGGCGGTAACGGTAACGGCCGGAAGCAGCGGCGCGAGCGGACCACGTTCACGCGCCAGCAGCTGGATGTGCTGGAAGACCTGTTCCGCAAGACGCGCTACCCGGACATCTTCATGAGGGAGGAGGTGGCCATCAAAATCAACCTGCCCGAGTCCCGAGTCCAGGTGAGTGACACGCGGTCGGCCATTGTGGGCACGGTGTCTCGCAGGCACGGCCGGGGCTGCAGCCGTTATCCTCGGATAAAGCCGCCGGCCGCCGTACTACTATGATCCGGCCACTTCATTGATACATCTGTCTGAGCCGATCAGCAGCAGCCCGTTTCAATCCCTGCATAGCCTTAAAAACGGCTATAAGTCATGAATGGGCTCGTGCAAGCCAAAGCGGCTCAGTGGAGGTATTGACGGCCGGGTATACTGGTGCTGATCTGGCCGGCCGGCGCGCGCAGTCCGATCTCGGTGAGTCAGCAGTCACTGAGCGGCCTTCCACCGTGTGAACGCGCCGGCGCGCCGCGCCGTCCTGTCCTGTCCGAGGGCGCCGCGCCGCCGCAGATTACACTGGGGAGCTGCGGCCGGGCCGGGCCTGGGAACCGTGCCGGCAGCACCGCACCGGACAGCACTGCACCGGACAGCACTGCACCGGACAGCACTGCACCGGACAGCACTGCACCGGACAGCACTGCACCGGACAGCACTGCACCGGACAGTACTGCACCGTAGGAGACACCGGGTCCGGGACACGGGAGGGGCACGGGACACAGGAGTCCGAGACATAGGGGGTCTGGGACACAGAGTCTGGAACACGGGGGTCTGGAAGACAGGGGTCTGCGCCGAGGGCCTCACCCCCAGGTCTGCGCCGAGGGCCTCCCCCAGCCGCGGCCGAGCCGACCCGCGCCTTGCGTGTGTTGGCGAGGTTGTGTGGTGAGCGTGCGTGCTGCGGTCCCGTCGTCCGCTGTGTCAGGCTTAGAGCCGGTGAGGTTAGAGGGGCCTCCGGCTGATCCTCTCCAGGGAGGGCGTGCGGCCCGCTCAGCGGCGGCTGTAGGTCTCGGCTGACACTGAACGACTCCCTGATCCGGGCCGGTGAAACGTCGGCAGACATCTGGTGTGGCCGGCTGCCGTGCACGCGATCTGACCTGTCCCCGGTCGTTGACTCCAGCGCTCGCTGGCCCGGTGGCTGTAGGAGCGGGCCGTGGCCAGCTCAGACGGGTGGGGCAGAATAGCTGCCAGGCCTGGCGTCCGGCGCAGGTCCGTGATATCGTGCCGGAATATTGTATTTTTGTTGGAGTGTGCCCACACATGTGGCTGGGAAGACCGCGAAATAAAATGCCAGTCTAGTCGGCCTTATCTAGACCGGACTTGGCCACGAACGGTCGGCCGCTGCTCAAATTCCCACCCGCTGGTTGGAGCCAATTGGAGTGAGGGCAGCCGGCGGTCTGCGGCGGCGGCGGAGGCGGCGCGGTGACTCAGCCGGGCAGGGGCGCCTCTCACCCTCTCTCTTCCCTCGCCAGGTGTGGTTCAAGAACAGACGCGCCAAGATCCGACAGCAGGCCAAGCAGACCAACTCGGCCGGCGCCACGCCCAACCCGCCGCCCGAGGCCAAGCCCAAGCCCAAGCCGCGCACGCGCACTCCGCCGGCGGCCGCCACGCCGTCGAGCACGGCCGGCGACCCGAGCACGCCGGGCGTAGCCCCGGGCACACCGTCGCCGCCGGTCGTGCAGCGCGACTCGCCGTACTCGCCGCCCATCACGTGCTCATCGTCTGTGCCGCCGCCTCCAGTCAGCTCTCCTGGCGCCGCGCCCAGCCAGGTCAGTTCCCCGCGCCCCGCCAGGTCAGTTCCCCGCGCCCCGCCAGGTCAGTTCCCCGCGCCGCGCCAGGTCAGTTCCCCGCGCCCCGCCAGGTCAGTTCCCCGCGCCCCGCCAGGTCAGTTCCCCGCGCCCAGCCAGGTCAGTTCCCCGCGCCAAGCCAGGTCAGTTCCCCGCGCCCCTCCAGGTCAGCTCCCGCGCCCCGCCAAACCAGCTCAGAGACTGGCACAGATGGACAATTAGCTGAGCGGGGTAGGTGGGGAAGCCGGGTGTCGGAAAAGAGCGAAGATGTTTGACACTGTTTCGCTGCTTCCGTTGTAGATGATGCGCGACCGGAACAATCGTTGTGCACAAACGCCGTTTAAAAATACTGGTTAGTTTAGAAAAGTGTTGAATCCCACAGATAGGAAATAGAACTTTCCTTTGCCCATCTACTTGCTCAAGGACAAAGCCCTTCCTCTTTCAGAATTTTCCCTCTTGATGGTTCGGTTTTCGAAAGCGCTATGACGCAGTAGCACTGCTATCGCATATTTGCGAGCTGCCCGGCGACACCTGTAGAGAGTGTTTGTCGCTGTTGCTGGACGCGCGGCCACTCAAAAATGGCCTGCACAGTGGACGGCGCTCCGGGTGCAGCGGCCGTCTGTCACCGACAGACCGCCTCCTCCGACAGCTGCCGACAGCACTTTTCTCCCCGAGCAGCATTCCGCCGCGAGCCGGCTCGTTTGTCCCGTCCCCGCCCGTCTGACCGGCCGCCGGCGCTCCTCCGCAGAGCTACGCGTACAACACCATCTGGAACCCGATGGGCGACCTGGTGTCGAGCCCGCCGGCGATGGAGCGCCAGTACTCGAGCGGCAGCCAGCCGGGCGGCGCCTACCCGCAGTACGGCGCCTACTACGGCAACATGGAGTACCACCTGAACCAGCACGCCGCCAACATCAGCGCACCGGTGAGTGACGGCGACGGGCGCGCGCGCTCTGCCGCTCGCCTCTCCGGCAGAGGTCGGCCCTCGGCGGCCGCAGGAAGATCGCCCGCTGATTACGGCCATTGTGGTTTGTTCCACAGAGAAAAACGGCTATCGTTTACCTGAATCATGAAGTCGGTGTTCGGTGTCTATTTTTGCGTTATTATCCTTTAGACGATCAAACTAGCGTTAAGACTGCCTAGATGATAATCGTGAAGTTGTAAACCTTTCTTCCTGATGACACGAGGTTGATGCACAAAATAAGCGCTGGTAAATTTTAAGCACTTCTTTTTGTCTTGCATCCATGAGCGTGCAACGCGTGCGTGCTGGTGTCAATGGCTTCGAAGAGTCGCTGTGACCCTTTTCCATTCCCTGTCAGTCCTGCGTGAGAAAGTTGCCAGTTCCTCGCGTGTGACCGCTGACCGTTGTGCACGGCAGGTGACCAGCCACGTGAGCCCGATGCCGCCGACCCAGCCGAGTCCGGCTCCCGTGTCGCGGCACAGCGTCACCACCGAAATGGACTACCGCTACCAGAACTTCCAGGTGTTGTAGGCCGGCGGCACGCTGCCGAGGCGCCAGCGACAGGCCGGTGTCGGCGGAGGCGGAGGAACCCGTGGCGGCGGCCGGTGCCGGGGGTGAGCCGCCGCCGCCGACCGGTGCCGGGGGTCTCCCTCAGCTCAGCCGCCGCCGCCCCAAAACGTGCAGCGCTGCCTGCCTCACGCGCTGGTCGGAACCCCAGAAACAAGACCCTAGAGCGGAGGCAAGGCCCAGATTTTTTGACGCTCGTCAGGATCAGACAGCCTGCGGAGCGCAGCTTGACGACAATCCTGCTTGGGGTAGCATCTTCATAAAGACCACACTCTTTTTAACGTCAGCCTTTCACCGAAACGGTAAAGTTATTGGTGGAAGAGGATCGGTTCAGTGCGTCACTGCTGTGGAAGAGGAGCGGTTCAGTGCGTCACTGCTGTTGAAGAGGAGCGCTTCAGTGCGTCACTGCTGTGGAAGAGGAGCGGTTCAGTGCGTCACTGCTGTGGAAGAGGAGCGGTTCAGTGCGTCACTGCTGTTGAAGAGGAGCGGTTCAGTGCGTCACTGCTGTTGAAGAGGAGCGCTTCAGTGCGTCACTGCTGTTGAAGAGGAGCGGTTCAGTGCGTCACTGCTGTGGAAGAGGAGCGGTTCAGTGAGTCACTGCTGTGGAAGAGGAGCCGCAGTGCAAACGGGTTCTATGAAGAAAGACTAAGAGAACTTGTAATCACTGACTTTTGTTATATGACGTCATTTATGACCATGACTTTTGCTTAGGCGGCTTGTGTGTAACTGTATAGTCTGTGTGAGGGCGTCGGTTGTGGGGCAATATCGGGACTCGCGAGCAACACGAGCCGTCTGCAGAGCGGCGTGAAGGGCGCACATTCCAGTCACACGCGTCAACACTGACACCGACACGGCTGCACAGTCACACATACGCATCTACCCGCACCCGACCACACACACACCCACACCCACCTACACACACACACACACACACAAGAGAGACACACACTACGCATACATCCAGCTCGACTACACGGAACATACGGACACAAGCGTTTACTGTGATAGGGCCGGCCCGGCCCTAGATGGGTGGCGAGTGGCGGCCGGGAGTGGGGCGCTGTCTCTGCGGTGCTGCCCTGCCTGTCACTGTGGCACACGGCTGCCGGCGCGTGTGTTGCGTCTGCTGCCGGCGTGTGTGTTGCGTCTGCTGCCGGCGCGTTTGTTGTGTCTGCTGCCGGCGCGTGTGTTGCGTCTGTTGCCGGCGCGTGTGTTGAGTCTGTTGCCGGCGCGTGTGTTGCGTCTGTTGCCGGCCCGAGTGATGGGCTCCGTCCCGCCGTGTCATCGTGCCTCTCTGTGGAATAGCCGCCGGCGGCGGCGGCGGCGGCTCCGTGCCGCACTGGCTCCGCGCCGCCCCCGTCCGCAGCTCCGTCCGCAGCTCTGGCCGCAGCTCCGTCCGCAGCTCCGTCCGCAGCTCCGGCCGCAGCGCCGCCCCCGTCCGCAGCGCCGTCCGCAGCTCCGGCCGCAGCGCCGCCCCCGTCCGCAGCTCCGGCCTCTGCCCGAGGTTGTTGATCAAGTACAATGTGCGGAGGTGTTTGGCCGGCGGTGGTCTCGGCGCGATGGCCGGCACCTGAGGGTGGGCGGCTCCCGCCAGTGGCCACTGACGGCACCGGGCCCGGACCGACCGCACTGCACCGCACGCCGCCCCAGCAGCGTCGCGTTCCGACTGCTTCTAGATGGCTATGTGTTCGATGCGTATATGTATCGACTGATATGCTGCTTGACGTCATTTTTCGGACATAATAATACAATGACGAAATATGTCTTTGCTATCTTGCTTCGTCAAATGTTCAGCTGTTTGCAATGGCGGTGCTGACTTGAGACAAGTCAACACGTCGCCTTTAATGTTTTTTCCGTCTGGCGGCTGTGATCGTCCCTGAAAGCCCAGCGAGACAATCGTTGCTACACCACCGCAAGGTAGTTGCACCACTGCGGACGAGCCAGCCGCCATGTCGAAACGGCGCGCTGGCAGGCACCTGTATGTGTTGGGCGACTTTTTGTGGCGCAGCGCGCGGCCGGAGAGCAGGCGCGTCTCTCGCCGCCGGCCGCCGGCCCCCGCCGCCGCGGCCTTGGCCCGACCGGTGGTGCAAGCCTGGTCGGGCTCGTTAGGACGCGCCGGTATACCGGTATCGGCCCAGTCGGCCACTCTCGCCGGCACGGCTGACGTCACGGGGGGGATTAGTGCCGCGTCGGTCCGAGACGAGAGGCGCGCCGCCGCGGCAAAAACCGGCGGCCGGTGCGGCGCTCGGTCTCGGTCCTGCAGTCCGCCACGGCCGTAGGTGAGGTCCGTACATCTGGCGGCGAGGAACCGCCGCGGCGGTTCCAAGGTCCGCGGCCGGTCGGCAGGCGCTTACCTCATGTCGCGGTCAGGGAATCCGACGGCTGTCCGACGGTCTCAAACAGGGCCAGGCCAGCAGCGCCGCTCAGCGACTAAATGTGTAGTCGGCCGACTCGTCGGCGGCGGTGTGGTGTGACCCAACGATTTCCAGCGCATCTTGGGTGAATTTCACTTGACGAGAGTTAAAGAGAGAGATTGCTTAAGATGTCAATGTATTTGAAAACATAAGGTAAGCGTGCGCGTGGCTTGGACAACCCAAACACGTACAAATAGGTTCGCATCACATCTCACACATTGCATCTAACGAGCACATTTCAGACGCGTTGCGTCCCAGTAAAGAAGGCGCACCGCATGTTTAGTGCCTACATGCGTAAGTACCTATTTTGCGCTGAGGATGGCTAGACGACAGACTTTGCTTTTCTTCTCATTGAGTCCACTTTTTTATAACACAATTTTAGCACACACACAAAATAGTAAAATGGTGTAAATAAATAGGATGTTAAATTGCGCCCCGCTGTCGGTGCAGAATTTGCCTCCCGCGTATTTCGCCAATAGCTTCTAAACGCGCTGAGCCAGCGAAGTCAAGTTCTTGATATATTATCATGCCTCAATTTGACATGTTCCCTGAACATTTGAGCAAAATCAGTCCAAAGGTTGTGAGAAAATTACGTTTTAGTGCTTCAGTACTTCATGCCACGCCTTTTCGCTTAAAAAATGACAAAACTTGAGACGCTTCCAAAATATTTAGCATTTAATGTATCAAGACGTAACAAAAGATGTTCAGGTATCCACGTAAATTAACTTCATCAATTTTTTTTTAAAGAAATTCTAGGTTGACTATTTACTAATTGAAGTGCCCTTAGCAATGATAGGTATCTGCACGTGCATGCATTTTTAATTGCCAACACATGCGCCGATGCTTTGTCTTTCCACTGATGCAGACAAGATGTCTTTAGCTACATTCTGCTCTGAGCTATCACCGTCTTTCCAAGAGGCCACCTAAACCTCGCACCATAGAAGGAGCCATCAGGCATCAAGAAAGCTTCTTGATGACCAAAATCGCGCGTCATCGCCAGGTTATCAGAACTCAGCAGCTCATTGTCATATCTAACAAAGCTCAGATCTCATTGGCATATCCCGTAAGCCTAAAAGCCTATCGCATGCGATCATTTTCCCCACTTGGTCTGGCGCATGCGCCATACGCACTCTCCAGGGTGCCCCCGGACCCTGCCTGTCCACGATGTCGGCACCCCTCCCCTTTTGAAATCGATGACACCACCAACATATCGTCTGTAGAGAGGCCACAGTCGCTCCATAAACTTTCAAAAGAAATGTCCTATCTCGGCAGAACTTATTCCTACCACAAACTGACCTCTGAGGACCTCGCGCCGCGCCGGCACGCGCTTTTCTCCATTTCCGGGTTCCTTTTTATGGTACGCCACAGGTTAAGGTGGTCTCTTAGAAAAACGGTGATCATGATAGCTCAGAGCAGAGTGAAGCTAAAGACATCGGGTCTTGACCATTGAAGAGAAAAAACATCAATGTATGTGATGACACTAAACAAATGCGTGCACGTGCAAATACCTATCATTGCTAGGAGCACTACCATTATTTGAAAGTCAACCATAGTATATTTTAGTTTTGAAATTCGACACAATGTAACTGACTTTTTTAGAAGGGCATGATAAAATCCAAAACTTTGAGTTTATCGTATAAAAACAAAATAGGTATATGTTAAAGTGACCATCCCACCTTAAAGGAAATAGTTCACTTTCACGAAATTATTTTTTTTTGCAACGATTTATGATTTTTTATGTTCAAAATAATCAGCAAAGAAAATAAAACCTTTTTATAACAAAAGATTTTTTTTCTATATTTTGATATAGGAAGAACTTTCCAGTTTCTGTAAGGCACAAGCGATCCAGTATGAAAAGAGCATGGGTCCCGAAAATTCTTCAGAAACAGAGAAATTATCGCAGCCACCGGCATTTGGGCGATCTGCTCGATCTGATAATGTTCCCCTGAATGTCCTAATTGATCAGTACGAGAATTTCTCTAGAGTTCTCGTAGATAATTTCTCTAGTTTCTGAAGAATTTTCGGGACCCATGCTCTTTTCATACTGGATGGAAATATATGCAAGGCACACATCCTCACCGCAAGACACCTTTTTCGGGACGAGAAATAGAATATCTTTGCCTAGGGTGATCGTTGGGCTGTAAAAGCTCCTGATTTATGCTCGTCTCAGCCCAAGCTACGGAACTGCTATTCCAGTTCAAAACCCATGTTAAAAAGTGAACTATTTCCTTTAACATTAGTTTTTATTTGAGATAGCCAAAATGGGGTTCCTGGCTTGCACTTAGTACCGGTTTGAGCACTCACAACATCGAGAAGTGCTTCAAATCGAAAATATGTGATTTCAAAGTTGCAGCACTTGGATTCAGAGGGGCTAATGCATTAGAATACCCCCTCTGAATGTGTGACGTCAGCGCAGATCTAACGATTTTAAATCTTTTGCTAAAACGTTTGATAGCACGCGGTGGTATATGCTGCTTTGCGCGCAACAAGTGCCGCACTTTCAACTAAAGTCGCTGGGAACGGCGGAGATCCCAAAAAGTGAACAAAAGTAAAAGTCGAATATCTTGAAAACCGGTGAATATTTTTCGATGAAATTTGGTAGATATTCGTTTTCGCTCTTTCTGAACCGAGCGACATCACTTTCATGCCAATTAATTTACTTTTTTGAAGGTGGGAGGGTCCCTTTAAAGAAGCAAATACATTCCAATTTTCAGAAATAAAGAGGAGACGCTGGCAGAAGAGGGCTTCGGGCCTCGGAAGAGGGCGCGGAAGGGGGCTTCCGCTGCCCCCGGCAGTGGAAGGCAGGATAAATAATTTATCTATTCTAATGCACACAAATCTCAATGGCGGACGCAACTATCCGGAGAGTGTTTGCATTTTCCCTTTTCCTTTGCATTTTGTCTTACCCTCACTCACCTCTAAGCATCTGTGCAGCCCAAACTGATAATTTTCCAGAAACACACTGAACCTAATTTGACCAAATATGCACCAAATTTGCAACTAATCTGCACCAAATGTGTACCAGATGGCCGTCGTGAAAACGGCTAATATGAATCTGACTATACGGGGTCGGCTAAGGCAAGCACAACATGACTTTTAGCTTGAGCGCTTATTTTGACAATTGCTAAACGCAGCTGTAAAATGCGATTAGCACGTTAGCAGCACTCATCTGTCCTTGGTAGAACGAAATGTTATCAACACTTGGTTTAGAGACCTACATCTCCAAGCATACATTTGATGACAACATTTTCGAAGCAACGATGTTGGACAAAGGAGACTTGTATTCGTTCCATAGATATGACGAGTAGTTACTGGGCAAGATCCGTTGCAGTTTCGTAATCCTTGGCTAGATACACACGAGCGATGGTGTCATGTCTGTTCGGCTGAGGCCTGCGCAGGCGGCGGTGTGAAATGCGACACGACAGGGACCGTCTGACTGAGGAGAGGAACATGATCCGGTCAGCCAGCCGTGCACGGTCCGTCCGCCGGCCGAGACACTGCCGCACCAATGAGTCCAGGCACAGAGAGTGAGTCAGAGCTCAGCCCGCTGCCGCTCCATCCTCGCAGAGCACCTACAACTGACCTATGATTACCACCAGTACCACTACCATGCATAATCAATGTTTTTAGGAGGCAAACGAAAACTCTGCACCTAGGCGTCAGCCCACTTGACATCTCTATCAGCCCTTGGTGCAAATTTTGTCCATTTAAACAATTTTGGAAACTGCCAAGCGATATCTAATTCGGAAACCAATAGAGCTACAGCGCCGCGGAAAAGCGCTTTTCGATAGACTTTTTACCGATTTTTTTTACCATCGTTCTCAGATTTGACCTCAGGTCGACGGTTTAGCCTCCAGAGGACAAAAACTCTAAAAATAGCCATTTTTGCGAAAAATGTTTTTGATAATAACTCTTGACTCAGGAAAGTCACGCTATTAACTTTACCAGCATCGTGTTCCTCTCGTCGAGCCGCGTCGAATGAACTATAATTTGACCTTGAAAGGTCATTTTGAAAAGTTGACCTCAGGCCAAGGTCATGACCTGACCGGAAGTCTTACATGCGGAAGACTTATATGCTGCACGTAATGCCCCCCCCCCCCATCAGACCGCGTTGCTCGGCAGACCCCATCAGGGTGCGGGTTAACCTGGGTCTGAACTTTTAGCAACATGTGCGGAACAAATGTATGAGGAGGTGTACCGAAAACGGCGGCGTTGCGCGCCGCCGTTTTTTTAAAGATATTTGCGAAAACCTTAGGGGGCGTGAAAACGCCCCCCCCCCCCCCCTCCTCTCTCCCCAGCACGGCGCGGGTAAAATTGGGATAGTCATGTGCTTTTACATTTTACCGTCG